AAACATGTTCTTCACATCTTTCATATATATATGTCTTATAAATGACCCATGAAATGCTCGACATGTTTTTATACATTCTTTTTTTTTGTTATAATTTATTTTTATGTTAATATTTTTGAGACCTTTTATTTCAATGTGGAAAATGCCGATATCAAAAGATTTAGAGGTGATATGAATTTTTTATTTGAATTTGTTAGTAGTTTGAAATTAAAATGAAATATAATATCATTCATTAAATAATTGTTTAGAAAGAATTAATTTAGAATTATTTTTTATAAGCCGAAAAAGCGATTTGTTTAAATTTTCTGGTTTAAAATTAATTTTACCTTATTTGTATGATCAAATTTTGGTTATGTGGTTTGTATGCAAATTTGTTGTTTTTCTGGTATAAGTTCTCCACAACCATGTATTTCAATAACCTATGACACTCACACTTTTTTGTTATATTTTATTTAGACCTTTTTTAATTGTGCAAAGTGATCTCATCAAAAAAAACTATTAAATTTTTAAATAATCTGTTTGAACTTAAAGCGAAGAGGATTCAAGATATCTTTTTGCAACCCCTGCATTATTTCTTAATTGTTTTATATAAGATAAAATTATCTATCTAGCATACAATATTGTAATAATTAATTGTTGTATGTGTTTCTTTATAAAACAATTAACAAATATAAAAAATGAAGCATTTGCTTTGGAAACTTGCGTATTTTTCCTAATAAAAGTCTATGGTTATTCACTTTCTGTGGGTTTGATTGTAAACTTTCCAAAACCGAAGTTGAAAATTTTTGCATTCTTCATGTTTTGAAGGTTTCTGAACATTTGGCATAGCTTAGAAAAATTAATGTGTGTGTGTGTATATATACATACGTATGTCATGTATGAATACGTTTTTGGCGCACGAATCAACCTGTTGGAATGATCTAAAGAACATTCGATTCCTATATTGATAGGGAGATGTGCTGATTAGTTTTTCGCAAAGGCAGGTACAGCCGTTTCGGAGATATGGAGCTAAATGCCTGTTTTTGGGAGAACTCTAAGCATTCGGTTTGAATGATTTAGAAAACGTTCTGCCTGTGATGACAAAACTGTTAAAACAAAATCTAATAAATTAAAAACATTATCAACACATTCATTTATAAAAATTAACTATGCAATATATTTCCATATTATTACAATAAATATACATATGTTATTTATACACAAACTACTCATTGAGTAGATCTTTCAAGGTTTTTGATACATTTTTCCCAAAGCATTAGTTCATGGCTAGAAGTGTTTATTTATTTTAAATTATTTTCTATGCTTGCAGTAATTTTGAAATCATTTGTATTCCTTTCTGTTTGTCTAATTTGCAACCAGGATATAATTCTTCGCAAGTTTTTTCTTTAAGCTGCTTACGTCCTGCGATTATTGCCTCTTTGATGGCTGTTCTTCCAGGCGTATTCAACTATGCTATTTCTTAAGAAAAAAAAATTATAATTATATTTTTTTAACTATGTTGTTGACATTACGAATTTTTTATTTGTTTTTTAACTTCCCGTAGAGCAAGTTACAGCAATCGCAATTAAGATTATTAGATTAGTTAGATATTTTATTAGGTTTTTGCGCATGTTATTAGGTAAATGAAGTTTACATATAAGTTTTTATCACAATGATGTTTGAAGTATATTAACAAATTTAATATGAATATTACCCTGATAAAGCATGAACCAGTTGGTCAAACTGATCGGCTGCTCCTTCAGATATTTTTCCTTCAGACGTTTTCACATACGAACAAACTGCCCTTTGCATACACGATGAAGAATCTATATTGAATTTGCTTAAAGTATCATCTAATCTTGCCAACATCTGGGTCACTCCAGTACCATCTTCACCTTCTACACCTTTAGAATAAAACAATAACCATAAATCATCTTCAAAAGTTATTGATAAGTCTAATAACAGACTTGAAGTAAATTAACCGATTGGTTGATAGATTCTTGGTCTGAATGAATAATGTAATCTAATTTATGAAGAATATATTTTTGTTATAATATAATAATAAATTTTTAATTACTTAGGCAAATAGATCGTCCACTATCATAGAATATTTAATAAGTTTCAAATTTGCTACCTTGGTCAAAATATTATATTTTTGTTGATTATTAAATTGATTGCTCCAATTTTAACTTACTTCTGGCGTATCCATAACCGCCGCTAACGATATTGACGATCTTAGGCAAGATGAAAATTGCTCCAATACTGACCAAAGTTCCAACTAATAGTCCTCCTAAATCCAATTTTAGAGGTGTATATATTCCTGCTGCGGAACCAGGATAACCCTAGAAAACAGTAATTAGAATTATTTCTAGTATACAAGTTTTGTCTTTAAAAAAGCAACATTAGAAACTTTATTTTTTTCTTGAAATAGTAAATGTCACCTTTCGACTTTTGCATTTTCTTATAGTTTAATACATTTTTCTTTTATTATTATTAGTGAAGTACCTGAACTCCAGTGGTTCCAAAACCTGTGAATCCGAGTCTTTGTTCTCTATCTTTATCATCTTTGGGTGGGTCCGACCGTGAAATTTCTGTAGTTGGGGTCGGTGTGACCTGCATATCCGAGGGGGCAGTTCTCCTTACAGCCGGATTACTGGATGACCCTTGCCATCTATCCCGATACTCCCTAAACAAAATAGTAATAATAATATATTTATTCCAAATTGGATAAAACTCACAATTCAAGAGGACTTTCATAAATAATCTTCTTTTGTTAGAAACCATAATAATAGTTTTTATTGTCCTCTTTAATAGCTTACATGGGTGTGGGTAAGAAGGACCTACTAAACTTTACCTCAACATTTACAAGAAATCAATTAACATATCAATAGTTATTCTTATTATGCTGTTGAATATTTTATAATAACTAAATACCAGATCAAGGTTATAAAGGGTCCACCATCTAACTTTTGTAGCCATTTTGAATCTTTAGCATCCATTTTGATTTTTTGGCATCCATTTTGATTTTTTAGCAACCATTTAAAAGTTAGGCTGCCATTTGCATTTTTCTTACAACCAAAACTATTATTTCAAATTAAAAAAAATCAGTAGTTTTTTTTATATAATTTTCAAAAAAAAAGTTATTTGGCGGACCCTATATATAAAAATTTATTTTTTGCATTGGTTGAATATTGTAGCAATTATTCCATAAAATCATATTAAAATTAAAAATAAGATTGAATGTGTTTTGCCAACTGGCTGTTCTTGAAAAATGCAAAAACATAATGCTACAATGATGGCAGTTTTACAGAACATAACATAGACTGATAGTTGTTTGTTTGATATGTGATATTTGTTGTGATATAATTAGTTTGGTTTTTACAATTTATTTCTCAAAGCCAAATTGGACCATTGTGCACCGTCCTACTCTATGTATGTATTGAAAAAGTTATTTCATTAAAACTTGGTTCTGCAAATGAAAAACTTTTAAATCACATTTTTATAATGTTATATAGCCAAAAATTTATATTATAAAACAAGACCATTCTCAGAACTAGTATTAAGTTATTGGTAGTAAAATGTCACGAAAAAATAGAATAATAAATTATAATTTATTACAATTTATTTAATTATAATTTATTTATTATATTAATTATTCTAATGCGATTTTCATAACATTATCATTTATAACAAGTATATTTATTTATTATTATCTCACCCATCATATTTTTTTGGAACTGCTGTGCATGTCACCACCTGCACCGCAACCAGGACACTTAAAACACAAACTGCTTTGAACATTTCTGATATTTTACCTTTTTGACTTTTAGATCAGGACTGATTGACAAATCATATTTTAATCCGTATATATATACCTCACATTTTTTATTGTCACAGATGCGTGATTCGGCACAATGGTAAACGACATAATAAAATTTTCTAAATACCAAAACAATCAAGAAAAATACTACAATGCTCGTGTTTGCAATGTTTGTACGCAAGACGGCATCTTCTGAATGGAATTATATAAAAACAAAAGTGATGTTTTACGTTATTATTTTAAAAGTAAAAAGTGTCATCAAAAACGCGGTGCATAATATTCTTGTTGAAAATCGAGGAAAATGATGGTAATTAGGTAACTCACTCGTCTTCGAATTTGTAAAGTTAACAATCCGTGAATTGGGTATTGTTTAAGAATATGTACGTAGAGCTGATAGTATTAAAGTTTAATTTTTTGACGACATTTTTTAATTGCTTCTTATGCAATTTAACAAAATTTTAATAAGAAATTATTAGAACTGGTGTTACACACAAATATATATTATATATATATATATAATATATAAATATATATATATACTAGCAAACCCGACGAACTCCGTTTCGCCACCAGATGGTTTCGTGAGAAAGATGAAGAAATATTTTGTTTGTTTTATATTTGAAAAGGAAAAATTTGATTTTATTACACAACAGTAATGAATTTATTTCGATTACAAAAATGAAGTGTTTTTTAATTGAACTTCTCTAAGTAAATGAAAGTGAATCCGCAAATTATCCGTTTCATTGAAGTGCTCTTTGGTAAACCACATTTTTTGTTTTTTGGTCTGACGTTAACACAAAAGTTGGATGGTTTTCCAACTCGTAAGCAGGCAACGTATAACTGCCCATGTGAAAAACAATTATTTTCTAACTTTATCCGAAATTATTTTTTTATTTAAACACTAAGCGATTGGCTTTGTGACTTGTTAATTGTCATTGCGAACGCAAGGCGAACTGGAAATTGCAATCGTTTGAAGTCAAACGGAAGACCAATCGGAATCATTGGTATTCGAGGAATATATCCATTTTCACCTACGTACTTTCCTTTAATAATGGTTGCCTCAATCAAATAGATCATTAGATCAGTAGATCATTATTCTTAGCGGCAAAAATTGCTCGTTGACTTAACCAAGCATAATTTTGATAATTCTCACTAATATCATTAACTGAATTTTTAATTGCGGTGCGTGAAGTTCCTTTTAAATGAAATTTGCATTAAGGCACGATGCCATGCATCTCTAATTTTCTTAACTATAAACCTTGCGGAGCCCGAGACTTTTCCAACGAATGCAAAATTGTCGAAATCGGTTCGTGCGTTCTGGAGTTTTATCGTCAGGAAGGAAAACCCGACTTATTTTTATATATATGTAGATATTATATATATATATATATATATATATATATATATATTTATAATATATTTAAAATTATTATACATTTATTAGTTAATACTAGACTATTAGTATAGTGTAGTGTTACCTAATACAAATGTAGTAATTATTTTACTGGGGAAAAAGGGAATAATCTAGTAAAAAAATAACTAGTGGGGTGCATGGCATCGTGCCTTAAGGAAAATTTCTGGAACTTTCAGTACCGTAATTAATCTTGGTACGGAACCCAAAAAAAAAAAGCAAAATGTGTACACATTATTAAAATCTCTATTAAATATATCATAATTTGATGTACATATATCAAATAAACATTTTTGACCGCCAAATGACTTTTTTTTTTAACTAATTTTTATTGAGAGTCCATAACCGCAATGCCCCACTTTTGCTGATCCTTTTACATGTCAGTTGAATAATTTTAATCTTTTTCAGGGTTATTACTTTTGGCAGTGATTCTAGAAATTTTTCACAAGATTATGGATCCCAAATTCAAATAAACAAAAATAATGAAAATTAAATACAATGACTGAAAAATTATCATAGTTTCACTCAAGCTCTTGGTTGTACTTAAAAGCTCATAATTTTTAAACTTCATGAAATAGTTTTTTTCTGTTTTTTTCATGATGGTTACAATTAATACTGTCACTCCGTTGGTTTCACGTTGAGTTCTGGGATACATGTATATACTTTTATATATTTATCACTTCATGTTAATTTGACGTCAAAAAAACAAAATTTAAACATGTTTCAACTGGTTAATTGACACTTGAATAGTAAAATGAAAACTAAGTTTCAAAATTTTTAGTACCTTTTAAGCAAAAATTATTTCAAAAATCCAAAAAATATACTAAATGTCGTTTAAATTTCGATATGGAATTTTTTTTCTTAGTTGACATTTATTTGTTTAAAATCTGGTTGCAGCATGAGAGATATGTTGATGTATCCGTCAAATGCAGGATTGGTGAAAATGTTATATTTTCTCTTGATCAAAAGGTATGTTAATTTAAATGTTATCATTAAATCATGTGTATTCAAATACTATCCATTAAATCATGTGAATTTAAATACAATCTATTAAAAATCTGCTTTGTGTTTGAAAGTTCTATCTTCTAATACACTTGTCTTTCAATTTCAGGGAGTACTTCCAAGCTCAGATGATGGATCTCTTATCATCGATACCGGTCGATGTATTCTTCTTCCAATGACTGTTAATCCTTGTTCAACGCGTCAATTTCCTGATGATCCTGTTACTATAGAAATTATAGAAGGCGAACCAGATGAAGACGATCCTAGTTTATCTTCTGCCAATGATGATGTCAAACCAGAACGAGTGGCTTATATCACGACTACTGTACCATGGGAAGTCAGTATCCCCGAAGAAAAGGCGTTAGTCAGACATCATAGTCCTTCTTTAAATACAACTGGATATGAGAATGTTAGGAAAACGTACAATCTGACGAATACCAAGACATTGTTAAAAGTTGGGTATATAGATTTGGGATTGAGATTGACTTGTATGGGAACCAATATTTGGAATAGGCTTAAAAAAATGAACAAGTTCAAACAACAATCAAGCGAATCTGACAGGAGTCCTATAATCAGTGAACCGCAAACGGAAGATGAAAATGGTAATCATCATTATATATTTTTAATACAGTTTAGTACTTCATACCAATCTAATCTAATTTTATTTAAATTTCATGTAACTTTGTTAACGAATGTGTAAAGAATTTTTTTTTTATTTCATAGTATTATCACAAAGAGAAGAAGAAACCTCTATTATTATTGGAACAGATGATGAATCTTCAGTGGATACTCGTACAACCGTTGCTACAAAGTTCCCCACAATTAAAAAAGAAGTCTTTATCGAAAAACCAACGAAAAGAGTTACAATTTTTGACTCAAAGAAAGATATGAAAGACACGCTATCAAAAATTTTAATGAGACTGATGAAATATGAGGCTGACACTTTTGCCCATCAAACTCCTCATAATGTAGTGGAAGGGTTCAATGTAAATGTTTGTGATACCAAGTCTTGTCCTAATCCACCCAGAGATCGCTATGATGCAGGTATTATTATTTATATTACTTATTTCATTATAAATTTAAATGTTTTTGTTTCAAAATATTAATCGTTTTGAAGAATTCATATATTATGAATCATACCTTACAGAAAGTTAAATAAGAATGCCAGCGTCCCTTAAGGAGCGAATTGTGGGTTGGTAAGTGATTTCTTTGTACTAGGACTTGAGTTTTCTGTTCAGTTCAAAATTTATATTTATCAAAAACTGTTGCCAATGACAGAATTTATTTAGATATAATAATTCGTATTAATAATAATAAAATTATAATCTTATAATTGCGTCTTGGAGTTGGATCAAAGTGCTAGAAGGTTTTACAGTATTGTACATTAGAGCACTGTTAGCATATTCTTGATAGAACCAGATATAATTGTTGTTTTATTAATATTTTTATTTATTTTTACGTTTCGAAGGTTTTCAAAAGTTTTGGCATACCTTAAAAAAATGGATGTGTGTGTGTGTGTGTGGATACAAATTTTCGTCGACGATTTCAGGAACACCGATCAACCGATTTGAATAATTCAAAAAACTTTCGAGTTCTATTGATAAGAAGACGTGCTGGTTAGTTTTTGGCAAAGGCAGGTCTAGCCGTTCCGAAGATACGGGTCAAAAAGTGCCAAAAACGGTAACTCAGTTCTTATGAGAACGGAGCGCCCGATGTTAATAATTCAGAAAACATTTTACTTGTATTGACGAAATGAACAACTGGTAAAATTTTTGGGAAGGCAGGTCCAGCGCTTAGGGACTCTCAATAAAAATAATTTAAAAAATGTCATGTGGCGGTCAAAAAAGTTTATTGGACATATGTACATCAAATTATCAGATACTATATTAGAGATTTTAATAATGTGTACACATTTTGTGTAAATTTTTTTGGGTTCTGTACGAAGATTTTTAATTACGGTACGGGAAGTTCCAGCAATTTACCTTAAGGCACGATGCCATGCATCCCACTAGTTTTAAAATTTTATTCACATAATATTTGTTTAGAGAATCGATTTTTTGCTAGGTATAGTGCCATATATCTTGGATTAATTTAATTTTTATTCCAGGTTTGCATTCTTGCTCTGAAATCTTTGGCCCTGGTTCAGCACGAGCAAAGTTTTGCAGAAAATCTAAAAAGAAAGAATTTTCTGTGAAATTGCCGTGCACGAACAAGACATGTCTTGCACGTCAACCTATGGCCAGGCCGACCTGTGGTCCTTGCATTCCTGAAACAAGACCACCTGGAGTCTGTTGCCCCATACCAGGTGAGATTGAGCGAAAAATATCCATTATACCAAATGCACTTAAATAAATAAATTTGGTAAAAAAACAAATTATATATTTCGGAATGATGGTTTAGATTTTTCTGAATTATTTGAATTTTCTGAATATTTGAATTTTCTGTTAGGTGACAGTTGAATTTATAATCCTCATTTACTTCTTAAGTAAGTGAGGAGTACCAGGATATATTGATACTTTAGTATCAATTAAAATTAATTCTGAATTAATTATCCAATATAGAATGCATCATCATGAACAGGCTTAGTTGACTGCTTCAATAATAGATGAATTTAAAGAAATATTATCAAATAGCCGACCCGACAGACTTCGTCCTGTCAAAAACATCTGTAATGTGGCGGTGTTTTATTCCTACTTTTTTTCTATTCTTTGCAAAAAATTATCCTTAACAGAACCATCACCCTAGTAATAATTCGGTGTGAATTAAAAATAATTAAATAAAGCACTATAAGCATTTAAAAGTAAGTAATTTTAATCATGTAAATCACAATTCAAAAATCAGTTCAATGTTCATTGTAGTGCTTTATGATAAACGATGTTTTTTGTTTGATTACCTGGCACATAAACAAACAAATCTGATGGTTTTCCAATACGGTAACAGACAACATACAATTTTCTATGTGACATGGGAAAACATGGGTTTTCCAAATTAAGACCACAAACACTTAATGATACCATAAACGCACTGGAAACTGTAGTCGTTTAATATCAAATGGCGCATCAGTCGGAAACATTGGGATGCACGGTGCGAGAACATCTTCTGCTTTATACTATCCTTTCAATATAGTTGCTTCCATCACGTTGTTTGGTAGTTTTTTTATCGCTAACCTTGTGCCGTTGCAAAATCGCGGTTGGTTGATATTTCGCAACATTATAATTGCTGATCCAACCTTTAATTGAAGATTGTGAGGTGACAATCCTAGCAAAACAAGCGAGTTCAAATACTCCGGTGGATCGTCTTGGTTAGTTGCCGAATCAACTGATTCGCCTGTAATTTGTTCTTGAATTTTGAAATTTAATTAATTTACATCAATGTTTTTGGCTGCTAATATAGCTTGTTAAATAATAAAAAGATATTTCTATGTTTATATAATTATATTAAAAATTAGATTATCAAAAACTGCACAAAATGTCATGACATAGATCATTGTTTTTTCTACAAATTTCGTTGCCTACTCGATTAAAAAAGAAAAGGGCTATTTTTAGGGTTTTTCGGGCAATTATTCGATTTTTTCTCACCGTAAGAACCATCCTTGGACATGCACGAACATTTTAAAAGAAGAATTGGCCAAATTGGTCCAGGCGTTGTTGAGTTATGCGCTTACCAACACATTTTGCGATCCATTTTTATATATAAGATCATACCTTGAGAAAAGATGATAATTATCGACCGTTCAAAGGCAGTACCAATAATGGCAATATTTATATTGTTTATCTGTTAAAATAAAATAAAGTTTATTTTTAAATCCAAAATATCAAATTACTCACGATACACAACAAAGAATATAATACTTCTTTGTCTATACAGGAAGAATTTGTCAAGATTGCGGTGGATTTTCAGCGTCTGGGCGGACTTGTCATAGTTTAAAAGTATGGAAAAAGAAGAATCCACCATCTGTAAAGCGAGCAAAAGAAAGGGAGAGGAAACAGAAAACAATCTATGATTGTCTTAAGGTAATTCATCTTCAAAATAAATTCATATATAGAATTTTTACTAATAAATATTGTAGGTTTGTCCTTCTTCCACAATAACGTCCAAAAAAGTACCATATCCAGGCACATGTTATCCACATGGTGTTCCAGATGATGGCGGTGGTGCCTGCATTTTACAAGATGGGCCTAAGGTGCAACCAAAAATATTACGAGGGTAAGTAAACCATTTCTGTAAATAGAAAAGATACTGCTTATTACTAAGATTTAAGATTATTATTTTATGATTTTGTATACCTACCTTTGCTTTTGCTAATAACAAGTACGGATATGAAAACCATCATTAAACCATAGATAAAATTTGTATTTTCAGTGTAAACGACTGGTAGGTGCAAAAATAGCTATCTCAAAATATCATATGCCTAGAAAGTTATCAAAGTAGAAAATTTAGCAGTATGCAATTTTTTTCTAATATAGATTATTATTAAGGAAAGCAACAATTTGCAATAATGCACAATGCAGTAGACTTTTAATTTTGTGTTTAGCGTATTAAATTACGATATATATCAAAGTTTCAATATCAGATTCAATAAATGAAGATTGAATCAAGATTAAGAGTTTTTTAAGCCATTGTCAAGCTGTATATTTAAACAAGAAAATTATTATTATTATTATATTATTTATTTGAAAATGAGATTGGCTTTCTCGTAGCATTTGGTTACAGCTGTGGTGCGTCAGTTTCGATATTTTATTAAGAAAATATTTTGATATCAAGCAGTAGTGACATCGATTTTTAGTTGAAAATATAGAATGCCATATGTTCCCATGTGAAAATAGTTTCTTTTAGGTGCTGCATCAAATAAGTCATCAGTATTAGAGAAATTCTAATATTAAGGGGGTTGTTCTTTTTTTTACAATAAATGCAAGGTATTTGTTTTTGTTTTCCGCGAAATGTATTTATTATAGAGACATGCGGTTTTTTTAAACAAAAATTACAAAACCATAGAATATTACGAAATTTTCTTTTTCTTTTTTTTTCGCTGTCATTTTTTAACCAGTGGGCGACAAAGTCGGCCTTGCAAAATCGATCTCTTTTGCGGTGCCACAGATAAATCCGTTGCGCATCGCCTGAAACAAAAAAAAAGAAACTCGTTGAAGAAGAAGTTTAAAACCAGTCCCCCTACCAAAATAAAAAAAAAAAATAAAGAAGGAAAAAGTGGCAGCTATTTAAAAAAAAGTGTTGAAAAAGGCCTTTTTTGAGCAAAAAGCTTCGCAAAATTTTTTTAAAAAATTAATTTTTAAAAAATTAACAAATTAAAAAAAATGCAAGTCGATCCGACTTGTAGTTTTTTTTTAATTTGTGGCACCGCATTGAAAAAAGTCAATTTGAGAAAAACGTTTTTAAAGTTTTCAATATAATGCACTAAATACACCATTTAATTTAATGTACTAAATACACGTGTTCAAAGATGCTGATACCTTAAAAAGGTCATGTGCATGAGGTGTTATAATGATAAAGAGAGCAGCTGGCATACAATAGCTCCGGAGCGATGAAAAAACCGGTTTCAGAGGATCATACATATAGAGATATATATATCTATAATCGCCAAAAAAATAGATATTGAGATGATTTTTTTTAAAAAATAATTGTAAGGTTTTAAGCTTTCATAATATCAAAAAATCTCAAAATCGAAAAAAAGAAATAAAAACCGAACAACCCCCTTAATAAATTTACAATAGAGAGATTAGCCATGGGTTGCCTTATAAAAAACTACTTTATTAGAAGTGATCACTATAAGCTGTTAGGATTATTTAGTTCTAATTAATTAATAATAATAATAATAAAAAATAAACCAATAGACCCATCCGCGTTCCATTTGGTGCTGGTCGAGAAATGCCTTTGCGACGACCGAAAGTGAATATTCCCGTCCCGGAAGAGAGCGCCTACGTTTACTCTGCAGGGGAGCGCAACCCTCCTGCACGCGACAGGCATCAGGACTGTGGCGTAAATGTTGCTGGCAAAAAAGTACCACCGAATATGGGATGGCTTTGGTCTCATAGACCTTTGCCAGGCGTGAAAAAGGTTGAAAATTATTTATAATTATACTTACATGATAATCGAATAATATTTGGTATGAGAAATAATAAATTGATTAGAATGACTAAAAAGTGTACAAAACGCAAAAGTAATTAGTTTATGCCTGCTTTTTGCTTGAAACCGTATAAATGATAAAAGACGCCCAGGTCCAAAAATCAGATGGTAATTCAATCAAATCAGTCATTGTCTTATAAATAGTTCTAGATTTTTTTTGTCGGAAAAGAGAGAATTATTTGAGAATCTGCGGATTAGTTTTAAATTCAAACTATTCATCTTTTGGTAATTATTTTAGTAGAAATTTAATAGCAAATACAATTTTCAAAAAAATAGGTAATGTTAATTACAATGCATAGAGCAATGTTTAAACTTTGTAATAACTGATCTTATTTTGAAAGTCTATAATTGATGTTTTACCTTAATGGAGAATATGTTTGCATTTATATATAATAAAGTTTAATAATAAACTTTCAGCTTCCAGGAGATTGGCGTCCAGGTTATATCAATGAAGACATAAAAGCACTGGCAGAAGAAAGGCGAAGAAAAATGTTGGAAAATAATAAATATCCTGCAAGCAATACAGTGAAAAATAAAAAAAACAAAACCACCGAAAATATTTACATGGTATTGGCGCAACCTTATAACTCTAAAAATATTTTAATTGATGGTGTCGAATCCCATGTCGAATTCGATTTGAAAAATTTTGAAAAAGTCGTACTTTCGGCTTCGGATGAGACAGAAAGAGATATTCAACGGGAACAAGAGTGTATTCAAATAATTCAAAATAATATTGGTGCAGTTTGCAGAAAAATATGCTATGACGTAATAGGAGAGCTTGAAATATAAACTGAAAATTTCATATTAATTGCAAAATGGATTGCATATTTGTGGGTTTAATTATTTATTTTATAATCGTTTTTATTGAAGTTGCCGTTCTAATATGTGCTTCTATTTTGTGCAGGTAAAAAAATATTCTGACGAAATCATTTTGAAAAATTCATTTCTATAGTAAAAAATTCATAATAATGTGCCTTTTTAATTATTAGTAAAGGTTTTTTATTGGATGGTATTTTCATAAAATATCTAAATTCATAATTAACTATTCACAATGTGCATAATAATTAAATTATGCTCTTTTTTTAGTTTAATTTCGGAGCAAATTCAAAAATTGCAAGAGTGTGTATATATTTTAGAGAATTGGTTGAACTGACTTACTTTATTGGAAACATAAGATTTCTGTTTTTAATGTTTATGCTTCTTGGTTTTGATGAAGACAGGTTCAGCTGTTTTTGAGTTACATTAGACAAATTAGTAAAAACGTCTATTTTCAGAAGAAAAATTAATATTTTACACATGCACATAAAATAAATTGAGTTTTGCGTACTATTATATGGAGATTCTCTAAATACTTTTAAAATATACATAAAATTTGCTAAAGGTCTAATAAGAATCATTTTAATAAAACATTTTGAGCATGGTAGTCCAGCCATTATAGTAAAAGTTCACCTCAGAATTCGAGAGACCTAGCTGTAAGTTTGTAAATACTTGTACATTGACACCCAAAAACCTACATACGAGGTATGTTGCGAACACCCTACCGTACGTAGGTTTTGAGACTTACAGCTGGGTATTTCGAAATCCAAAATTCTTACCTAATTTAAGCTTAACTGGATGATGATATTTTAAGTTTTAAATGAAGAATTTAAAAAATGAACTTATGTATTTAACTTAATATAGAATTCTGTACTGATAATGTTGAACACATATGACCAAAAATATGTATGAGATATGTAAATATTCAACAAAAAATTCATTCTACAAAATTTTGCCATATTAAATTTTTTTATAACAGAATTCAGTTCTTTGAATTTGAACAAATTTTAAATCATTTTTTTTTACAAATTTTCAACAATATTAATTTTTTCAAAACGTTCAAATTTGTCATATTTTTGATGATTTTCACAAGTTTTCAATCTCTTTATAAAAATTGAACATTTGGAATTATATTCTTTTCATACTTTCCACATTTTTTGCTTATTTCGCTATCATATGGACGGGGTCGCAAGTCCAAGTCCCCGTTCTACGTTCTAGCAATCTGAAATCGGGCAGCAGCGATGTCAATTTTCACTTGAACATGCAGACAGATCAAAAATATGTTTTTAATTGAAAGTAGCCAATTTCAGACACTGCGGTGTGAAATGTCGAGTTGGAGTTTAACTCAGTTCACAGACCTGCCCTAGAGCAATACCATACCCATCATTAACTTTAGTTATCAATATTATTAATTTAATTTAAAAAATATGAATTGCATATTTTAGTATAATAAAAATATTTATAATATTAATTCTAATTATATAAATTAATTAAATTATTATTTTATTTTATCAAATCATATTACGGATACTATTTTCATGTAAATTTTATCCTTTGCACTTTTATTTATTTATTTAAATTTATGTTATTATTTATCAATATTACTTGATGTTAATAATTTAACAGTTGTAATAATTATTGATATTAAAAAAAATTATTATTTTAATTATAATTTTGCTTTAAAGCCATAATCCCTATAGTTTTACAAAATTTAAACATGTCTATATTTCAACAGAAGGACAGTTTGTTTTAATAATAAATATTATTGATTATTATAAATATGATTTATACACAATTTTTATTTGCATAGATTTATTGCCAAACAAAATATTATAATTTTTTTTAGACAATATGCTGGGTGTGGCTGGGTGTAAATGCATTCAAGAGATTATCTTCTATGAGATATCTCTTTTTTAATTTTTTTTATTAGATTCCTAGCTTAATTCTTCTAAATATTTGTTTGGGTGACCAGGTCATTTTTCGTGGTATTTTTTTTTGCTCCTTTCTTTTATCATTTCATTAATAGTTTTTATTTTTAGGTCTTTATGTAGAGTGTAATTTGTAATATACCAGGATGCGTTCACAATGCATATTAAAATTTTCGATTGCGCTATTTGTATTTTATTTATATTTGCATTGCTTGCGCACACCCATAGCTCAATTCCGTATGTCCAAATTGGGATAATTATTGTTTTATATGAAAGGAGTTTGTTTTCATAATTTATTTTAATTATTTGAATTCCTGCCAATTAGTTTTATACACAATTGTAACTAAAATAACAGTTTTAGTTAATGATATATTATTACTCCAACATTATTGCAACAAATTTTAAAGCCATTTCGGAAATTCAAAAATTGTGCAAAAGATTATTCATGGCTTCTCAATTCAAAGCTTATTCTAAAGCTATCAGTTGGAGATTACACCTACAGCAGTAAATTTTTGGTAAAAGTCGACGATGTTTCTTTGTAATATTAATACTTATTTAATTTAATGTATATATTTATAAATGATAAATTAATATATAAATGTTTAATAAATCCTTCAATCAATCCGATGATATATAAAGCGTTAATTAATCTTGAGGTCAAAAACGGAACGCCCTGACGTTAGCCCCAGAAGAATTTTTTAATGACGCAAAATGAAAAAAAAAACTTGAATAAAACAATTGTTAAAATTTGGTCTAATTCGGTTTATTAAGAAAGTTAGTCAGTTTTGCAAATGTCATTAGAAATGTATCATTATGTTAATATATCAAAATTCTATTGCATACAAAATATTTATTATTAAAAAAAATTGTCTAAGGCTTAATTAGATTGTTTCAAGTTCTGAATCATGATTCTAATAAAAAAATGCCATTAACTTAAAGTGCTTCAAGTATTGAATTATAAATTCTAGTAAACAAAACTGAACTTTAGTTAAAATAATGTATTTTATCATTATAAACATAACTGAAGTTTAATTCAGTGTTTACATCTCGCGCGTACATTATTTACTATTTGTCACAATCCAAAGGGAAGTTTGTACTTAGCAATGGATCAATATCCATCAATGTGACTTCCAGTAAGATTTGGTTATAAAATTACAAATTCTAGTATTCTTACCAAAATGGGCGAAGAAGAAACTATTAGAATCTACAAGGAAAATTGTGATGAAATAATCAGTTACACTGGAACCGAGTTATTTTCACAGTATGGTTCTGTAAGTAGACACTTTTTTACAAGGAATTTGTGGCTATATGAATATCATGTGTGTTTTTTGCAGATGTCAATTTATCAACATTGGTGGTTTACAGATTATGCTTCTGATATTGCAGAACATTTATATGACAAGGAAAAATGTAGGCCTACGTTTAATTCACAGTCTCCACAGGTTATATTTGATAGAAATTCATTGAAATAAAAAAATGTTTATAGGAATCATAGAGGTTGAAATATTTAAAACAAATTATATAGTTTGTCAAACATATATATGTATGACAATTCTTCTCACCTATTTGTCATAATATAATTTCGAAAATTATATTATATACATTGTATACTTTTTATCGTATACACATTCCCACTTTTTGTTACACAAGATTATTATTTTATCTCTATATTTATCATGGTATAAGTATACAGAAATATTTGTTTTAAATAACTGTTTATTCGGTTTGCTTTTTAATATTTATTTTGTTACAGATAAATCTAACCATAAATCGATGACCATCGGTTTTCTTTATTAAATATTACTTTTCTTCAAAACAATGGAACCATATTAAGAAAGATTCTTATGATATGATTCAATATCACTCTTTCATTAGTATCAATTTAGAAAAATAGATTAATTAATATTGCTCATTATTAGATATACTTCTGTCTAATATTTATACTCTTTCTTTTTCAGCTTTATCTCAGAAATGTTTTAGTAAGTTTGATCTGCGAGGTGGCCGAACAGAAAGGCCTGAACACCACATGCGTTCATTTGGCAGTATTTATACTAGACATTTTCATGGACAACCATAACATTGCAGTGGAACGATTGAAATTAGTTGCTCTAGTATGTCTTTTACTTGGTGCCAAATTGGAAGATAGTGAACATAAAGTACCCAAGATGTCTGAACTCAACACAATGATTAGCAATCAATACCCATTAAAAGATTATATTTCTGTTGAAGTAATGATTATGGAATTCTTTTCATTCAACATATCCATGATTACTTATTCTCATTTCATGGAATATTTTATATTTCTTGTTGTTAGTGAGTCGGATTTTGAGTTAGCTAAAAAGAACTCTGATAAGTATGATGATTTTAAACAATTCAAATTTGTGGCTCATGAAACAGTATTCGAAATTATGGATTTATGCTTGAAAGGTAATTGCTATGTGCTTTAATTATTAATTAACATTCATAGTACATACTAGATTTTCTTAATTTATAAGAATAATTACTTACAAGTGAATTGTATTAGAACAAACTATTGCTTGAAGTTAATAAACTTGTGGCTTCTTATAAATTTGGAGATACAATGTATAGTTTAGTTATCTAATTATAATTCTAAATTATGAGCTTTTAAAGTATTTTAATATAGCATATTCTAAATACCAGTATTTTTTAATGATCATATAAATTTTAAATTCTAATACTCCGATTGTTTTAGATATAGGCATAGTACATTCAGTACCTTCGCTGATTGGTTCTGCAATAATTTATGCAACAAGAAGAGTATTAAATATTTCTCCAGTATGGACAACAGATATCAGAAATATGACTGCATATATGGAAGATGAAGTTCAGCCGTGTGCAGAAAAGATTATTCAGTAAGTTTAATATATATCTTCTTTATAGAGAATTTTTCAATTTAAGTATTAATCAATACAGATCTTTTAAAGATTGCTGAATATAAATATATTACATAAATTATTTATAATAGATAAAAAAAATATTATGTATTCAAATACTTATTTTAATATGTATTTACTTATCCTATTT